ATCTGTCCATTGGTGAAAGTGAGGCATTAAAGTCCCCTACTATGATTTTGTTACTGTCAATTTCCCCTTTTATGGCTCTTAGCATTTGCCTTTTTAATCTTAGTTATTCTGGAGGATGTATAGTAATGTCTCATTGTGATTTTAGTTTGCATTTCCCTGATGACTAATGAGGTTGAAAGCTTTTCATGTGCATATTGGTCTTTCTTTATGAAATGCCTGTTCAAGTCTTGTGCCCATGTTTCTTAGTGGATTATTTGTATTTCATCATTAAGTTATAGGAGTTCTCTATTTATTCTGAATATAAGGTATTTGTTAGATATACGTATTGCAAATATTTTCTTACCATCTGTGGTTTATCTACTCATTTTATATGTTTCTTTGGATGCCCAGAAACTTAAAATTTTTTGAAGTCCATTTATCAGTGTTTACTCTTGTAGTTAGTGCTTTCTTGCTACCCAGGGTTGTAAAAATACTCTACTATATTTTCTTCTAGAAGTTTGTAGGTTTAGCTTTTGCACTTATGTCTATGATCCATCTCAAATTAATTTGTGTATGGTGTGAGGTGGGAGTCAAGCCTCATATTTTTCTGTGTGGATTTCCAGTTTTTCCAACATGTTTTGTAGAAATTGTTGCGGTCTGAGAAATTAAGGTGAGAAACCAGTGTTCTTAACCAATGCATTCTTTGGAGGATACTGTTGTCAACTCACAGTTCTTTTGTGGAGAGTAACTTCATCAGACAAACTTGTTAGGGGTGCCTTGCCCCTCCCTCTTGGCATGAAATCGATGTGCGAAACCAGATTTTGCGGTGTGACTCAGATGCTCATCTTTATTACAAGTTAAGTTTTGATGCTTTTCTTTCTATTTGTAATTTGAAATTAGGGTTGACAATTTAAAAAAAAACAACAACAATGGGCAAAAGATTTGAATGGACATTTCACCAAAGAAGATATATGAATAACCAATAAGTACATGAAGAGATGTTCAGCATCATTAGTCATTAGGGAAATGCAGCCCCAAACCACAATGAGATACTACTTCACCTCCACTAGGATGACTATCATCGAAAAACAGAATAATAACAAGTGTTGCTGAAGATGTGGAGAAATTGTAACTTTGGTACACTGATGGTAAGAATGTAAAATAGTGCAGCCACTTTAGAAAACAGATTCTTTTAAAGTTAGACATTTACTATATGATCCAGCAATTGCACTCTCAGGTGCAAGAAAAATGAAGACACACATCCACATAAAATTTTGCACAAAGATGTTCATAAAAGCATTGTTAACAATAGCTAAAAAGTAAGTACATCTCAAGTATCCATCAACCAATGAGTGGATAAATAATATGTGTTATGTCATACAATGGAATATTACTTACCCAGAAAAAGGAATGAAGTACTAATTTATGCTACAACATGGATGAAGTTCAAAGACGCTATGCTAAGTGAGAGAAGCCAGATGCAGAAGACCACAAGTTATATAATTCCATTGATATGAAATATCTGGAAAAAAGCAAATCTATAGAGATTAGTGGTTGTCTGAGGCTGGGCATGAGAATGAGGAATGACTGAATGAGCTTGAGGAGTGATGGAAGTGTTCAAAAATTGGATTGTGAGGGAGCTTCCTGGTGGTCCAGTGGTTAGGATTTGGCGCTTTCACTGCCACGGCCCGGGTTCAATCCCTGGTCTGGGAACTGAGATCCCGCAAGCCATGTGGCATGGGCAAAAAAAAATTTTGAATTAAAAATCAAATTAAATTAAAAAGTAAAAAAAGATTTATATATAAAAAAATTGGATTGTGATGACGGCTGCCCAACTGTAAAAATTTACTAAAAATCATTGAAATGTACACTTAAAATGAATGAGTTGTATGGTTTGTAAGTTTTACCTCAATGAAGTTTTTTGTTTTTTGTTTTTAAGTGTTTTAGGATTGGAACATTTTGGCCTGAATGGGGTCTGAGATATTAAGGAAATGCCAAGACCCTACCTGACACTTGTGGCCAAGTGGGGAATGATACAAGCAGAACTGCCGTGTCTGGCATTATAGGACTTTGGTTTTAAGAATCACTTTCTTGGACTTCCCTGGCGGTCCAGTGGCTAGGACTCCACGCTTCCACTGCGGGGGGCGCAGGTTTGATCCCTGGTCAGGGAACTAAGATCCAGCATGCCGCACGGCCAAAAAAAAGAATCATTTTCTTGAACTGAAAACCCACAAGATAACACCTCCCCTCAACATCAGCCCACACTCTAGGGCAGCCAGGGGCTTTGAGGAAAGGGTGCTTGGTGAAACTTGGGTCTTCTCATTTTATGAATAAGCCCAAGATTTGCAGTTGAAGAAACAAGAACAGACAGGGGACAGCATGGAGGCAGAGGAGAACACCATGCCAGGCCACGTTTGAACGTAATGACCCCTGCCCTGCTGTGACTTTTCAAGCCATCCTTGCCAGTTACAGGCAGTCTGAACTAGTGAGTTTGTCCTGAGCCTCTCTCCACTGTTGTTCTTCCCATCCACGAGTGTCTTCTTTTTATGATTTTTCCTAAATGTGTTGTCACAGAACATTTAATTTAAATGTCACAGCATGTGAGCAGAAGGGTTCAGTGTCTTTTCTCCTGATGACTAAACTCTCCTTTGGGAATCCTGAGGTTTTTCTTAAATAGCACATTAGTTTATCCATTTTTCTTTTGTTTTTAATTTCATTTACGTTTTTTGAAAAGTTTCCTTGCAGGGTGGGGATCTGAGGGGGGGAGAATTTATAAGCAGAGTTAGCTAGGTTGTTGGTCTTGGAAAGACAGTTGTGGAAATAATGGAGGTGCCGCCTTTGTTTACGCTGCTCACCGCCGTCCCCAGGATGTGCCCTTTGGCTTGTGGCTTCTGGCATCTCTGAGCCACACACACACCCTCTTTCTCTCTTACCCTCTCCTTATGGCTCCGCATTTGGGAGACATCTGGCTACAGTAAGAGTCATCTCTGGCCTCAGATTGTGTTTTCTCTTGTAAAAGTTTTCCACGTCCTCTTTCCTGACAGAACTACACCTTTTTTTTCTTTTTAATTGGAGTATAGTTGCTTTACACCGCTATGTCAGTTTCTGCTGTACAGCAAAGTGAATCAGCTGTACGTATACACATAACCCCTCTTTTTTGGACTTCCTTCCCATTTGGGTCAATACAGAGCACTGAGTAGAGTTCCCTGTGCTACACAGTAGTTTCTCATTAGTTATCTATTTTATACATAGTATCCATCGTGTGTATATGTCAATCTCAGTCTCCCAATTCATCCCACCCGCTTTCCCCCTTGGTATCCGTACATTTGTTCTCTGTGTCTAGAACTACCCCTTTTAAACTCGTTCCCCTCCCTCCAGCCATCGTTCCAGCTGCCTTTTGATACTGAAACATATACCTCTAATATCTTAAACTTGCCAAAAGCAAACTTATTACACCCTGTGTCCCTCCACCCTGCTTTCCTCTAAAACAAAACAACACAAAACCTTTCTCTCCTTCTCACGGTCCTTCTAATGTGGATGGTGCCTGCGGGGATCGAGGCCTCGAGGTCATCTTTTGGGGGGCTTCTCCTCCCTGCCATCCCCCCTCTTGTCGCCACCACCTTAAGTGAACCCAGCTTTCCGCTGCAGATGCTCACTGTGAAATTAAAACAACAAAATGTCATTTTTTTGCCTACCAGATTGACATGTCTTGACAGCATCTGTGTAGCTGAGGGTGTGAAACGTGGGACTGTGAATTAATTCAGCTTTTCCTGGGTCTCTTCTGTAATCATCTAAAATGCCCATACTCCTTGACTTAGCAAATCCATTTCTAGGAATTCATCCTACAGAAATATTCCCTTACACACAAGAAGCCTTATATTATTGTGATTATAATAGCATTATTTATAGTAATGAAAAATTAGAAACATACTAAAAGCAGAAAAATATGTAATTGTTTCTGTAAATTATGGTACAGGCATACATTAGAATAAAGCCATTAGAAAATGGTAACGTAGCTGTCTTTTAGTTCTTTGGAGTCCTCCATAGCAGGGGTCCCCAAACCCTGGTCCATGGACAGGTACCGGTCCGCGGCCTGTTAGGACCCGGGCCGCACAGCACGAGGTGAGCTGCGGGCGAGTGAAGCTCCATCTGCCGCTCCCCATCGCTCGCGTTACCGCCTGAACCATTCCCCCGTACCCTGTCGGTGGAATAATTGTCTTGAATGAAACCGGTCCCTGGTGCCAGAAAGATTGGGGACCACTTACTCCGTAGCATCTAGCATAATTCTTGGTATTTGATATGTGCTTAATAGAATCTGGCTTTTCTTTTTTAAATGTACTCTTGTACATAATTTTATAATGTTACACCTAACATACTCTTACAAGTAACCTAAGACTATATAGTGTCATATCATTCTTATTACTTCGTAATAAAAATCACCTTAGTGACCTCTGGTTAAGCATGGTAGATTAAACACATGTGCTTATATCTGCCCCCTCTCAAGATCCCACCAAAATTACAGTAAGGAAATTTAAAAATTTAAACCCACAAAGACAAAGGGAACTGGAATGGTACTGACAGTACATGAGAGATACCAACAAAATTTTGGAGGATAAGAAAGCAGATGGCCAACGGTAACTGAATTAGCAAAGGAGAGAGAATGGAATCGTGTCTTTCAGAGGGGAGGGGGCGCTGCCACCGAAGAGCAAGCTGATTTGTGCCACGGAATCCCTGCCACGGAATTGGAGGCACCAGGTTTCCTGGAAGGCAGCGGAGCAGGGGAGGTTATAAATTGGAGTTATGTTTGAAAGCCTTTTAAGAGCAGTTAACCTCTCAGGTTCCCTCCCCCACTCCCAGCAGCAGGGCGGCTGCCTCCCTTCCCTGTTGCCCTCCATCATGGCAGGGCTTCTACTGTGGGAACCAGAGAGGTTCTGGACTTGGGAACTGCAGGTCCAGCAGAAGGGGCCAGGCTGTTGGGGAGGTCCTCCCAATCCCCTTTCCTTCTGCTTCTCTCATGAAAGCTGCAGCAAAGCCTTTACCCCTCGGACAAGACATTGAAGGATCTCAGCGAAAATGAACAGCCCCAAGGGAAGGACCTCCAGACACTGACTTTTGGGAGACCCCGGGCAAAAGCCAGTCTGTCCCCGGTCACGCTGTGGTGACTAGCCCTGCCACAGGGCTTCCCATCTGCCTCGCCTCAGTCGAGGGCTCCTAGACATTTGAGGAAAGGCTCTTACCCGAAAGAGTGGAGCCCAAACAGACAGAAACCAAAAAAACTCCAAGGAAACAGAAACAATGCAGAGGGCAGAAGAAGATTTCAAAATGAATATTGTTCTCCTCAGAGAGATCAAAAAGGATATTGTTCATGTAAAATAAAAGCAGGATGCTTCAAAAGAAAAAATAAGTTAAACACTCTCGGAAATTAATAATTTGGTAGAAATGAAAAATTAATTTCAATTAATTTTTAAATTGATAGAAGGCTGGAAGATAAACTTGAAGACACTCAGAAAGCAAAATATTAGAGAGAAAAGGTAAGAAAGTTAGAGGATCCAGGAAGCCCCATCTGACTAGGGAGAGTTCTAGAAAAAAAGAACAGAGAATACGAAGGGGAGGGAATTATCAAAGAAATAATACTCAGCACAATGAATGGAAAAGATAAACACCAAGGCACATCTTTATTAAACTTAGACGAGAAAATCCTGCAAGCTTCTGGAGGGGGCGGAAATCACGTAGAAAGGGAAAGGAACATTAGTTTATTGGAAGCTAGAAGTCAGTGGAACAATGCCTTTAAAATTCTAATGAAAATTATTTTTAAGCTATAATGCTATACGCTGCCAAACTGTCAGACAAATGTGAGCACAGAATTAAGGTGTTATTTTTTTTTGTTTCTTTGTTTGTTTTGGGGTGGTTTTTTTTTTTTTTTTTTTTTTTTCTCCTTTAAAATCCTGCATATTCAGAACGACTTTAGGAAATGCTGCTTTGGATAACTAAGACATAAATAGGAGTAGGATTTATTGATTTAATTTTGGCCACACCATGCGGCTTGTGGAATTTTAGTTCCTTGACCAGGGATCGAACCCAGGCCCTTGGCAGTGAGAGCACTGAGCCCTAACCACTGGACCTCCAGGGAATTCCCAACACGTTTTTAGAAATGGAAGATCTGAAACTCTTTATCTCTGTATACCCTTTGTAAGAAAACTACAACAGGATGAGCTCCAGAAAAATGAAGGAATAAAGCAAGCAAGAAAGAAGACATAGGAGCCCCATGGGGATTTCCTGAGTTAATGGCTAAGCAAAATCCCAGCCTAACAGCTGTGCATCAGGACTTGAGAGTAACCAGACCAGACCAGACCAGAGAGATAGAGGGCAGGAGGGTGGAAGGCTCCAGAATCGATATTTCAAAGAGGAAAATGGAACTAATAAAACACCTGTGGCTGAGGATTACTGAGAGGGGCTTGAGTGACAAGCACGTGGAAACAAAGGAAGCTTAAAGAACAAGGCAATAAATTAGCCCTAAGAAAAACAAAAAATTGTGCAAGAAATGTAACAACTTAGTTCAACAGTGAATATATTTATGTGGTCGTAGTACTGGAAATCCTAAATATTGATTTAACCAGAATTTTCATGGGGGAAGAGGGGAAATAGTAGTAAATAAAGAAAGAGATAAAGATTTAAAAGGATAAATCAAGAAGTAGAAGTACAAGCATTTTATTAAGAAGCAAGGAGATAAATGCCAGATAAAACAGTCGAAAGAGTTAAATTGGTTATCCCTGAGGAATCAGGGATGGGAAGAGGGGCAAGGCTGCAATTTTCCGTTAAAGCCTTGTAGTGCTATTTTAAGTTATAAACTATGATGTTTTTGGATAAAAGAATTAGGTTTAAAAACAATTGGGAGTTCTTTCTTGTAACAGCCTAATGCGGCCACACGAACCCTGTTTCTTACTCCTTCAAGAGAACATTGGATGCTCAAATTTGCATCTGTTCTGCTTGGAATGTGTTTATTACCTTCCTGTGACTTCTCTTATCCCAGAAGGGAAAGGCTTTCTCTTTCATTCCTAGTAAAATAGTAGAATTTTGTGTCCCTGGGCCATTACAGATTTTTCAGATGATATCACAGATTACAAAAGGATTTTCTTGAAAATATCATTTCAGATATTTTTCTTAGGTCATCACATAGAAATCAGCGCTATCCTATCAAAGCTTTCAAAAATAATTACACCCACGTGTCATTAAGGAGAAAACACGGGTTCTGCATGACCCAAAGGCCCCTGGCTAGCAAAAAACAACCCTGGCTTCTATGTCTGTTACCCTTAAGCCTAGCTGTCAGACGACACAGACCAGTAGCGTAGGGTAGGGATGCTTTTTCTCCATGAATCCCCACCAATCATGTTTATCCCATTCTGGATTAACTCATGCTGACAGCTTCTGGAGAATTGAAAATATATCCTAAAATAACTTAAGTACTTTGTTCTGTTTTTTGAAGGTGTGAAAAAATTGGCTAGATTTAATTCTATGACCTATCTGCAGTCTTTTATCATGAAACACAGCTAAGAAAAAGCAATGGCTATCCTTTCTTTAAAAAAGTTATAATCCATCATATGCAGATTGAGAGATTATAGCAAACCAGACTGCTTGGGATGGGTGTTGTTTTTACAGTCTTCTCTCACATGTCTTAATGGAGCCCTAACTTGATCCAGGGAGGCACTGTCAGGTTCTGTGCCACAGGGATCCTCGAAGTTTATGTTTTCTCCACCTGGATATGTGTCACTGTGCCGGCTGCTATTATTTATGGCATAGATGGCATATGGCATAGATGGCATATGGCATGATAAATGGCATAGAAAATCCCCAGACTGTTTGCAGATCTGAGACTAAAATGAAGATAGAACACTCTTCCCCATCCCCATCCTCACCTTCCCTGCATTTCTTTGATGCCTGGACTCCAGCTGCCTGTGGGTTCAGACGCAGATGAATCAGAATGGAGCAGTCCTGCCCCTGAAAGCTTCACAGCCCACCTGGAGACAGAGCACACACCCCAGACCCTGTGGGCCCCTGTGGGCCCCGTAGATGCTGAGGGACCTACCAAAAGAGAGGGGAGAACGGTAGAACAGTGGGCTCTGGGAGCAGAAAGGGGGAAGATAACATCCCCCTGAGTGTGGACATTGGTCAAGCAGTGGGAGGCTGGTGGGTTCCTAGAGAAGGTGCATTTGGCCCAGACTTTGAAATCGGGGTGACAGTCGATAGACTGAGATGGGGAGAGAAAATTCCAGGCAGGGGTTAGGCATGTGATCTCATAGAGGTGGGAATGGAAAGGGGCTGGCTGTTTTCGAGGATGGGGAGATTCAAGCCCAAGATACAAAGGGCTGGGTAAAGATGAGACCAGAATGTCAGAGGGGTGGGCCTCACACAGCATTACTGTAAGGAGTTTGGACTTCATTCTGCAGGTTACAGGAAGCCATTCTTTCATCCTTTTATCCATTCAGCAGCTCTTCATTTAGTCAACCTATGGTTTTTACTGGGGCAGCTTCAAATTTTAGAGGCGGGACCCAGATGCCCTGTGGCCAGGATAGCCAGGCGTCCTCATTTGTCCTGGACAGTTCCGATGTGTACCTGTCATTCAGGGCATCTCATGTGATTTAACATTTGTCATGGATTTTTTTTATTGTTTTAAAAGAAATATTACTCCTGAGAGTTGCTTTTAAATAATGCAAGATGGGTTTGGTAGAGCTTCCCTTTGTGCTTCCATCTTCTGCCGTGGTCTTGTCTAGAAGGGCATCGTACACTTACGCAGTAGGCAGAATTCTCTCTTCAGCATGTGGTTAAATGTGAAAGACAACCAGTGCAAACTTGTCTCTTTTTTCCCAACACAGCTAAGACCTTTCAAGGACAGCATTCAAGACACCCACTAATCACGTGAAATAGCTTGGGCTTTAGCCGCTAGGTTCAGCCACTCCTTCCAGTCTTGGGTGGTAGAGGGATGAGTGTTTGATGCTTCTGGTCCCAGAAGCCAGGTGGCACCAGTGCTGTGGCTGGTGCTGTGACCAGTGAGACACACAAAGCCACCAGGCTACCAGTTGGCTGGTTCAGTGGACAACATGGGAAGTATAGGTTCATTGTACGTGAAATATATGCTGGGGAAAGGAGGCTGAGCTGTCCTGCTGTAAAACAGTCTGAGTGTTTTTGCTAGACTGGTTTCATTATTTATGGCTTGGTATAAATCTACAGCTCTTTATTTTATAAATCAATATTTTATTGTATGGTAGTGCTTTTTTATTTTATTGTTGGGTAATGCTTTTTTATGTTGCAGTAAACCCTTTCAAGAACAGATAGCTAAAAAGACAGCTCATGTGTAGTGAAAAATTAAGTAGTGAATTTCCAGTTCTCAGGAAAAGTGATGACTAATGCATAACTTGCCCAGATTTGTCATCACTTACATCTATGGTAGGGTCCTAGTGATACCATGAGCCACAGGAAAAGCAGAAGAGGCACATCTGTGAAAAGATGTGAGCAGTATGGAGGTTCCTTAAAAAACTAAAAATAGAGCTACCATATGATCCTGCAATCCCATTCCTGGGCATATATCCGGAGAAAACCATAATTTGAAAAGACGCATGCACCCCAGTGTTCATTGCAGCACCATTGACAATAGCCAAGCCATGGAAGCCACCTAAATGTCTGTCCACTAGAGGAATGGATAAAGAAGATGTGGTACATATATACAATGGGATAATACTCAGCCATAAAAAAGGATGATATATAGCCATTTGCAGCAACATGGATGGGCCTAGAGATTATCCTAAGTGAAGTAAGTCAGACAGAGAAAGGCAAATGCCACGTATCACTTATATGTAGAATCTTAAAAAAAAAAAGATACAAATGAACTTATAAACAAAACAGAAATAGATCCACAGACACAGAAAACAAACTAATGGTTACCAACGGGGAAAGGGGGGAGGGATAAATTAGGAGTTTGGGATTAACACACACACACTACCATATATAAAATAGGTAAACAACAAGAACCTACTGTATAGCGCAGGGAACTATAGTCAATATTTTGTAATAACTTATAATGGAAAAGAATCTGAAAAAGAATAGGTATATATATATATATATGTATGTATAACTGAATCACT